GGCTCTCTCTCTCTCTCTCATGTACTACGTGCTCTCTAGCGATCGATGCCCCGCCCTCTAAGCGCCCATCTGGTTGAATCAGAGGGTACCTTGGCTGCGAAGCCTTTGTTTGCAGGGTTCTGCGGTAATCGAATTTTTGGATAACACTATAGTTGGATGTGAATTTTTTGTGAAATAATTCATCGTAATGAAGGGTAGATCCCAGTAGATATATTGCTAGAGAATTTCTTTGGTGAAACTGCAGATTTTTTGCATAATAAGTTGCTGAAGACTTACTCAGAAAGCTTGCATTTGATTCCGCACCTCTAGCATTTCATTCATCTTACTGTATAATCATTCGACGCTGACAGGGTACTTTTGCGGCGCCGACGACATTCAACGATATGCACTCAGTGACCATATTTTTTGCGCAGATGTTATCAGCACCGCAGGAGCACTATATTAGCGTTCATCTACTGGTCTGAACTGTTTCGCAGCGGGACTTCTTTCAGCTCACCGGACGTTCGCCAAATCCTCATAATGCGTACATTTTCGAAGACGGAAGATGCTCCGTGAGAAGACTCATCCGTGACGGTTTGAGCAACTTTTTTCTTGATATCATCACCTGTCCTCGTTGTGGCTCGAAAATGAGAGTTACTCAGCGTCATGGTCGATACAAAGGCGAAGATCGCTTGTATTGGACGTACAGATGTGTCGGTTGTCAGTCCTACCGCTCACTAGTATCGGCGCAGAATCAGCCGCCATCGTATGGCATGCCTAGGATCCTTGCAGGCAGTAATAATATTCGCGGAGTTCTCAAACAGGAACAGAAGCCATTCTCTTTGAAAAGACCAGGTCAAGAAGAAGTTCCTTCAGCGGAGGCTCCAGCGGAAAAGTCGAAAGAGAGCGGCTTTGTCATTTATATTCCGAGAGCGCTTTCGCCTGAGGATGTGAAGATTGTGCGCTTGGCATTCTTCAAAATTCTCACTGATCAGTACGATGAAGAACGCGATTTACCAGCCCTCAAACAACTTCGCGCACAGCACTCAAATCTGAGTTCGTGAGCGATCTTTGGGTGAATTTACAGTGTTCTGTGCGATTGATGATCTATACCAGCATCAAAATCAAATTCATCAAGAACCGCCGTTTATCATTCTCTGTACACTACGGCAAATTCTGCAATCGAATTTGCGTTGCTTATCTGAAGCATCGCTATCACTTTACCACACCTCATATAGGTAGTCAAATCTTTAAATGTTATTTTTGTTACTGTCCGCTTAGAAAGATTGTTTTTTCCTAATGTCACATGGAATCTCAGTATTATATTTCGGTGCTCTTTCTCCGGTGGTACCTTCCGGTGCAGTTTTCACCTAGAAAGTTACGCTCTTTAGTTTTGCATACATTCCAGTTTTTTGTTGAAGTTACTCGTTGTTGTTGCTAATAAAAGCTATTGGAGACTCATTGTAGAGAATATGAAAGGTATCGCGTAACTTAGTACCTTACTTTCAATATGACCTTTTTTATTTTTTCCGACTCAGATTTTTTGAGTAACCATTTCTTGTTCCTGGTTTTCCCAAGATTTCATCAGTCCGTTGAAACACACTATTGCATTTCCACAACGTTTTCTTTTGAAACAAAGATTGTCTTTGTCT